CGTGTTGTTCCTTTGGTGTGTTACAGAACCAAGAACCTGTGTTCTCCAAGGATGGAAACAGGTTCTTTCTGACAGTTCCAGTCAAACAAGGAGGACGAGGAGAGTTCCACCACATCGCCATGTTCACCACACAGGTACCAGTCCGTCTGTCGGCAGTGGAGGAGTTAGGACACTTCCTCGTCTCCAGTGTCAAAGCCACAGAAGAAGAAACTGTGATCATGTGACTAAGGTTTTATTAAAAACTCCCATCATTCCCTTCTTCAGTTCAGGGCGGATCAGAACGACGTGCGTCACCTGACGTCAGGAAACTGGGAGGTGACCAGGATCGTCGCCTTCGACGAGAACACGGACAACCTGTGAGTAGAACCGAGTCAGTGAGTTAGTTCCTTCCTGGGTAACTAGTTAAGTCAGGTTGATTCTCTTCATGTTTCGGTCTCACAGATATTAAACTAAATATTCTGATCGTTTATAAACACCGTCTTTTTCCCGTAGGTATTTTCTGAGCACGGAGGGTTCACCACGAAGACGACAACTTTACAGGTTCGACCGACACTAAAATCAAGAGTCCACGGGTCACCACAAGGTGGCACTAATACGTATCATGGAAGTGTACTTTCCTAATAAAACAAATGAACAAATGTCAATAAAACATAATTGGATTAAAACCCGTCACTGTTGAAAAGGCTGGAAATAAAAAACAAATGTTTAGTTTATTTGATTAACCCAGTTAGTTGATCACAGCAGGTCAGAAAGTACTAGTTCATTAAAGATGAATTCATTCCTAAATCTGATTTGCTGTCTGTTTGAATGACCGTTGTTTTGTGTTCTTCTGTCCTCAGTGTTAAAACCGTGGGTCTGTTCCCACGTCGGTGTCTGACCTGTGAGTTAAACAAAGCCCAGTGTCTGTACTTCGACGCCAACATGAGTCCTGAACACCATCACATCATCATACACTGTAAAGGTAGGTGCTGTTCACCACTGTGATGATGTCACTGCGATGACATCACTGCGGTGACATCACTGCGATGATGATAAACATTTTATATTTATATATATTTTATATATTCCAGTTCAACTCTTTGACTCCTGCTGTCACTCCCCCTCACTCCCTCACCCCCCTTCTCTCTGTTCTCAGGCCCTGGAGCTCCGTCCGTGATCGTACACAGCCTCAATAACTCAGGTGAGGACTTCATTCAGTCTTAGTGTGTGTGGTGTTCACGTCCAGCTGCACAGAAAAAAAAAGATGACGTTGAATAAACGTGCAGGAATCTTACGATATGATACGTATCACAACACAATGAATAATATTGATACAGATATCCTGTAACAATATATTGCGGGACTTTGTATTGAGTGACGTTTTAATAGTCGGCGTTTGTTCTGGTCATCTGTCGACCAGACGTCTGGATTCATCACCTCGCTTTGATCGTCAGGGGTCAAGGAACGTTTGATGTGTGTGAGGTCATGGGGGAGGAGGGGGGAGGACAACACGTGCTCCAGTCTGTGATGTCACAGAGAAGACACGCTTTTATATTCACATCAAAAGCTTCTCCATCCGTGCAGAGGTGCTAGACTGACCCCCCCCACCCTCCAGCCCACGTGTTAGAGAGGAGGTGCTAGACTGAGAGGGAGGGAGGGGGAGGGAGAGAGGGGAGGGAGATAACAGCTGTGCTGCAGAAAAACAATTTGCAGTTTGAGGGATAGTTGGAGAGGCTGTGCGTTCACAGCTGGGGGGGGGGGGTTTGG